AGTAACTTCCTCTTATGGTTCCTTCCATCCTTCCTTTCTGTTCTTTCTTCCTTCTTTCTTCCTTCCTTTAAGGTGCTCAGGGTGGCCTTGAACTTGTCTCCATCTCCTGAGTAACTGGTATTATAGGCGTGTATGACTGTGCCCAGCTCTATGGTTATTTCTTAGACAAGTGACTTTTCAGCCACTCAGAATACTCTAAGTACAGTTTTATGCCACTGTTCTGAGAACAAAATTATGGGACATTTTAGGGAGCCGTAAGAATGAGGGTTTTTACTGGCATTCAGTGAGCCGGGGCCAGTCTACTAAATGTACTGGTAGTGCTCACATGATGAAAAATGGTCCCACTCAAAATGCCAGCAGCAACCAGACTGTCTTAGTAACCGCAGCCCTTCTATAATTCAATTCAAACAGCCCAATATCCTATCGCTACCTGTATTTCCAGATCATTTTATCAGGTATTCCAACTCCAATACTTTCATACTCAAATTTGGTCCTATCTCATCTTCGTATCTATCTTTCCTTGTTAACATATTTTGAATTCCATGGTTATAATAGCTGCTCCTTGCATGCACATACCCTTAACTCCTTGGCCTCTAATCAACTTCACCCTGATCTCTGGAAAAACTCCAGTTCTAGTTAAATTCAATTCTCTACCCTCTCTGTGACCATACAATTAAACACACCTGGAGAAAACACACTGTCATTCTTACTGCTCTCACTTTAAATTCACAACAACCAGCCCCAAGTGGGCTCCTACTGCTGCCTGGCAACTCAACTTCACTTCTCAAGTCCAGTCACTCTCCTATTATTCTATGACTATTTTAACCTTCTCTTCTCTCTTGAAACTTCAGCACTTTTTCCTATTCTCACTCTCAAGTGCTGACCTCATTTCCCTAGAAAACAGAAGCCATCACATGAGAACTTTTATAAGCTCTCACCCTAAGTGTCCACTTGCCTGTGTTTGAGCCCAAGTACTCTGCGGCCTTCCCCACTGTTTCAGTGGATGAACTAGGGTAATACTCTCTACGTGCCCTAGATCTTATTCCTCTTTGCCTTCTAAAGGACCTTGCTTCAACAATTTTTCTTACATTTACATTCTATAGTAATTCCCACTTGGATCATTCTTTCCAGTTTATGTGCTACATATTCTCCTATCAAAGAAAAAAACCTCCCTTTTGATATTTTATCCCAAACCATTACTATACAGTTTTTAAAAAGCTCAGTATTAGGCTATTAGCCTTATAAAATATAAGGGCTCATTAGAAAGCTACTATAATTAAAACAAAGTAACAGAGTAGAGTCCAGACAGACACACGAACACAGAGCAGATGCCATGCAGATCAGAGAGAAAAGGAATCAATACTGTTCAATATATGGTGCTGGTTCAAATGGTTATGGTTAAACAAGAAAGAAAAATGCTAACCACAGAAAGAAGAGTTTCATACAGTTGACTACAATCAAATTAAGAACTTAAGTTTTCTAAAAGGCGAAGAGAGATATTGAAAGGACAGCCACAAACTTGGAGAAAACATCTGCAAGGCATATGAAAATCCACACTTGTTATAATCCAGGAAATACAAAGCCCTACAAATTGATAAGAAAGAAAATCTAACAGGGCAAAAACTCCAGAACAAGCTCTGCACAGAAAGGAAACACAGTGATCAATAAACATGAAAAGAAGCTCAAGCTTAGCATTAATCAGAGAATCACAAATGAACACTATAATAACCATTTTACACCCATTTGGCAAAAAAAAAAAAAGCCTGATGATGCCAAGTTAATTTCAGAGAGCTCTTAAACACTGCTAGTGAGATTGTAAATTGGCTCAACCACTTAAAATAATTTGATATCTTGTAAAGTTAAAACCATAAACTCATGACTTAGCGTTTTCAGTTCTAGTTACATACTCTAAGGCAATTCTTGCACATGTGTAGCAGGAGATGAAATGAGAATGCTTACAGCAACACATTTCTTAGCAGCAAATAGCTGGGAACAACCCCAATGCCTATCAGTAAGACACTAGATAAATAAATTGTGGTATGCTCACAGAGCTGAGTGTCAAGACAGTGGTGAAAAATGAGTAACTACTGCTACATATAACCACATGAAGAAATCTTAAAAGCACAATAGTAAATGTCATCATTTTAAAAAAAGTTAAAAATCCAGCAAAATTTATAT